CCCGCACCGCCCGCCGGGGCCTCGCCGGGGCCGCGCGTGTTTGCCCTCAGTGTCTGTTGGTTCAATTGCGGCTCCTCGGTGCTGCGGCCCCGCGGGATTCCCGGAGATCCGCGCTCCCACGAGCGAAGCGCCGAGCCASGGCTCCGTCCGCGCCTTCGGCCTTCCCCGGGCACCGTAGGGCGGGATTTGGTGCAAACATGGGATTGTGGAATGGTTTGGCTGGGAAGGGACCTTAAAGCTCATCCCATGGGCAAATCCATCTCCCACTGGACCAGGCTGCTCCAAGCCCTGTCCAGCGTGTGCTGGGACACTTTGGGGATGGATCCTCTGGGATATCCATTCCAGCGCCTCACAGCCACGGAATCCTTCCCAATATCCCATCCATCCCTGCCCTCTGGCACTGGGAAGCCATTCCCTGTGTCCTGTCCCTCCATCCCTTGTCCCCAGTCCCTCTCCAGCTCTCCTGGAGCCCCTTTAGGCCCCAGAAGGGCTCTGAGCTCTCTCTGGATCCTTCTCCTCTCCAGGTGAGCACCCCCAGCTCTCCCAGYTTTTCCTCATAGGAAAGTGAGRCMTTCCATCATTTCCATGGTTCCAAACCRTCRTAGAATGAAWTGTTTCTCCAYGAGGGCTCYAGCTGGATACAAATAKATGRAAATTGACACTCCCCAAMTGTGGCAACATCACCTTTAAAGTTCTTTAAAGCCCAACAGCCCAAGGATTGAAACTCCTTAAAGAAGGGAGATTTTCCTTTTTTCCAGTAAGGAAAATGTCCCAGGCCATGGAGTGTGAGGGAATATCAGCCRATAGCACCTTGGAGAGCTTAAAAAAGAAAAGTCAGTAAAGGAGCATCTGCCAAGACAATTGTCAAAATGRGGGTTAAAACCACAGCTGTGTTTTCCCTTAATTCATGGAATTGTTCCTCTTGGGAGCTGCTATTTTCAGCCTCTGTTGTACTCCTGAGCCTYGTGAAATGAAAGGATGAAGATTAATTTCCCCCTGGAAATAAAAGCCAGGAGATGGGTTTAACTAAATGAAGCATAATATTATTTTTTATTAATGTTTTACTTTGCTCTAAACCCGAGCAAATTAAAAGAGAGGYATCACCAGAGGCAAACTGCAAATTGCACACCTGGAATTAAATCCTAAAAGAGGGGAAATGTTGGGTTTAGGTGGGACTGGGGGAGGGCTGTGAGCTGAGGGGTTAATTGATGCCCCTGTGTGGAGCTSGAGGCCAAAAGAGAGCTGAAAATTGGGAATTAAATGAGGTTTTGGTGGCTGGAGGGTGAGCAGGGGAAAGAGCAGAGTGGGATGAGAAGGTGGTGGGAAAGGGAAGCAGGATGAGGGGGAATGGGCATTAATTAACACTGAGGATTTAGCAGAGCCACGTGTAAAGTGAATTTAAAAAAAAAAAAAAATCATGCAGAACCCTAAACTGAACAAGGAAAATGTTCCCATATTCCACGTGCCAACCTGAGAGGGAAGTGGGAATGATGCCAGAGGAGTTTAACAACTCGTGCTGTGTGTCCTGGCAGCTTTGGAGAGCTCCAAGTGTCTTCTTTCTCTGTGTGAGGTGCTCTGGGCAAGGTCAAAGGAATTCATAACTGCTGGGARTTGCTGCAGGGATCACAACACGGCCGTTCCTGCCACCAGCATGGATCCAGGGGCAGGAGGGAGAGCTGGGAACGCACCTGGAGGGTGGGGAGGAAGCCTTTGGTAGGGATGGATCCACAGGCTGAGCAGCAGGAGGTTGTGGTGGATGGAAGCTGCGTTTTCCTGGTGATTCCTGGGGCTYGTTCGCTTTGGGAATGGTGGGATGATGGCATTAAAGCCAGTCAGTTGTTTCCTCAAATCCTCTAGCACAGGGGCAGGAGTTGGACTGGATCCATGTGGGTCTGTCCCACCTCAGGATATGCCATGATTCTGGAATGAACTTGGATTTCTGACCGAGGTGTGGTGGTGATGGGAGCACTGGAACCTCTGCCCACACCCGGAGGTCTGGGAACAGCTCCACTGATCTCTGGCTCAGGTGCTGTGGCCTCAGCCAGGAAGTTCTGGGCTCCTTCCTCATCTCAGGACTTCCATGGTCCTGGGAGAACCAGGATTTCTGGCCAAGTCTGGTGGGAATGATGAATTGATCCCTTTTTCCAGACACTGGGAATGGAAGCTGGAGCTGTTGGTGCCTTTGAGGGAACGGGGAGCTGTAATCATTTCAAATTTAGCCTCCTAATTRCCATGTGGATTCATTTTCCATCCCCGCCAGCAAACCAGGCTTCACTGCTTGGATTTTCAGGATTTGGGTTCTCCCAATCAGCRTACTGACATGGATTGAGGATTTGGGGAGGGAATCACTCCCAGCTTCCAGGGCACAACTGATTTTCCAGCCATTTATTTGTGTCCTTGAAAGGGAAAGAGTGAAGGTGGTGAAACCTTCCAGCCCAGTCTTTTCAAAGCAGGGTGGAGGGTTTGTAAGCCTCAAATCCCTGTTTTTCCTTTGTTCCAACCCAAATCCCCCCCTGCCAGCCCCCTGGGATCCATCCAAGGTGGCAGTTAAATTGAAGCAGGGTCATTTGAGATCAAAGTCACTGCTGCAAACAGCAGGAACAATGAGGGGAAGAGAGGTTTTGTTCCCCTCAAAAAAAAAAAAAAAARACTGAAAATGTGCATTTACCTTCCACCCTTGGGAAACTGGAATTCCAGTGGTTTATAGCAAGCTGCAGGAGGAAATTCCAGCTGCTGTGCTCTTGGGATTCTTTAATTTTGTTAAGCCTTTATCAGCGTTTTTATTCCTTTTCTTCTCCTTTTTCTTTTAGATTACAGTACCTAYAGCCAAGCTGCAGCTCAGCAGGGGTAAGTAGCTTATCCTGCCTGTTTTAAAAAGATGTAATAAAAGTGTATCATAATTACGGTTTGGGCTTAACTCAGGTGTGTTTGGAAATCCTGAGGGCTTTTCTGGAGCTCTGTATTCCTGATAGAATTCCAGCAGAAACCGTGAAAATTTGTCTCGCGATGCAGATTTGGGGCAAGATTATAAAGATTATAAATGTCTTTACATTCATTCCACAGCTACAGCGCCTATGCACCTCAGCCAGCTCAAGGATATGCACAGACCACCCAGGTAAAMCACGGGAAGGGGGTGGAATTCCTGCTCAATCACCTGTTTTCCAGGAAAGCACACAGCCCTGAGAAATTCCGAGCGGCGGCAGTGAAATCAGTGGTTAAAARTTGTCTTGGAGCTTCTCCCCCCCAGCTCAAAGTGCTTTTTCAAAGTGGAAATAACTTCAACAATCCCCCTTTTTGTTAATTTATTCAATCCTGRTCCCAGAAAAGCCCAGTTCTTGGTGTATGTTTGACACCACCACGTCAGTGGGTGTTGTAATCAGAGGTGTAGGAAAGAAAAAACTGGGAAAAAAGGGGGGAATTGCCTTTTGGGAGATGGCAGAATTGGACAAAGGAGGAGGAGGAGGAGGGARTAATTTTTTCCTGGAGTTTTTATTGCTATAACTGTTCATAGTCTCAGTTGGCTGGACTGCAAAACAATGATGATCTTTAAGAGATTAACTTAATGCTTATTTTTAACCTTTAGAATCCAAGTTACTACAACCACATTTGTCTGCAAACTCCAAGTATGTTTCCAAAGGTAAATCCTCGTCCTCAAAAAGTGCTGTAGGTTTAATTTTCCTTCCCAGAGGAGGAGAGAGGCAGGCTCAGTGTGGGCTGAAAGGAAGGTGATGGTGACTTTTATTTAAAATGAGTGTTTGGAGACAACAATTGGAAGAGCTGCTCCCAGTTGTAGATGAGGTGGAAAGTGGGAGCAGGATGACAAGGGTAGGAACAGGAGGCTTCAGCAACTAAAACCAGCTAATTAAACACCTAACCAGCTAATTAAACACCTAACCAGCTWATTAAACCTCTAACCAGCTAAACTGAGCTGTAGGCATGTGTCCATGGGGAGTTTGCAGCATTCCCAGCCTCCTGGTGTAGGGAAATTCCAGGGACAGGGATGTGTTCACGTGGCCAAGGCTTTCCTGCTCCTRGTTCAGACCTGGGCCTTTAATTCAGGAAGGCTGAATATCCCAAAAGGTTTCAGCTCCAGGCTCTCCAGAAGTTTGATTCCCTGGAAATTAAAGCTGTCTCCATGTCACACCTCACACTGCAGCCAGAGTTTTATGCTAAGCCAGGAGCTGTTGGAAGTTTGCTGGTGCCTGGAGCATGGCAGGGCATGGCTTGGGCAGCTGGTGACACTGCTGGGCACAGCTGCTCCTGTCCTTTTCCGGTGATTATTCAAGTTGGATTTGAAAACAGAATCAGGGAGAGGGTGAGGTGAGAGCTGACCCTCACTGAATGCACAGGCACCGGGATGGGAGTAGCACTGCTGGGATAATTCTGGTGTTCTGTGAATCCCATCCTTCCATGCCTACACCAACTCCCATTTTTTGAATTCMTGGCTGGTGGGCATGAAGAAATATTCCAAATTATTTCACTGAAACCTTCAACAGGTTTCTTAYAGCAAACACCAAGCTGTTTCACACTGAAGTGACTTTTCCTTTGTTCAGCTCCACCCTCGGAGCGCTCCCATCCCCGCGTTTCAGGTTCACCCTGGGATGGTGCCTGTGGGTGCTGGTGGCAGTTGTGAGGAGCTGGGAGCTTTCCTGTTTGCTTTACACAGCGCAGAGGTGTGTGGTGACAATCAAGAACCCGCTCCTTCAGTCCTGGCAGGGCAAAACCACTTCCTAACCTGGCAGAGCTGACCCGGAATCTCCCGCCGCACCTAAACTTTCACAGCAGCCTTGGCTTTGAGAGTGCTGAGCAGCAGTTGCCAGGGGTGGCTTTGTGCTCACGGGTTGAATCTGTGTCCTTTTGGAGCAGACCTACGGGCAGCAGAGCTACGGGACCTACGGGCAGCCCACTGACGTCAGCTACACGCAGCCGCAGACCACGGCCACCTACGGGCAGACGGCCTACGCCACGTCCTACGGGCAGCCCCCGACAGGTGAGAGGAGGGAGCCCTGCATGGGGTGGGACAGGGCCTTAATGTCACCTAGGCCAGCCCCTGCTTTGGGCCRTGATGGCTTTCACTGTCCCAAGGTGCTCCAAACCCTCCAGCAGCCACAATTTCTCTGGGCAACCCCACTGAGATCTCCCTCAAGGGAAAATTCCTTCCCAGTATCCCAATTCCTTCCCAATATCCCATCCATCYCTGCCCTCTGGCACTGGGAAGCCATTCCCTGTGTCCTGTCCCTCCATCCCTTGTCCCCAGTCCCTCTCCAGCTCTCCTGGAGCCCCTTTAGGCCCCAAAAGGGGCTTTGAGCTCTCCCTGGATCCTTCTCTTCTCCAGGTGAGCACCCCCAGCTCTCCCAGCCTGGCTCCAACCTTCCGTGGCGTCCTCTGGACTTGGTCCAGCAGCTCCATGTCCTTCATGGMATGGTTTTGGCTGGGAGTGACYTCAAAGCRCATGCCATCCCATCCCCTGCCACGACAGGGACACCTTCCACTATCCCAGGTTGCTCCCAGCCCCATCCARCCTGGCCTGGAACACTTCCAGGGATGGAGCAGCTGTGTATCAATAATGGATAAATATTGGATAAATCCAGGAATACATGCACTGTTGAGTTTCCAGGGCAGGCTCTGGGTGCCGTGGGACCGAGCAGGACGTGCTGTGCTCAGAGCAAAGGGAGCAGTGTCCCTGGCTGTCCCCTCAGCCCTTCCCTTCCCTGTCAGTGCTGTCACTGGCAGTGACATGTGCCTGTTCTGATCCCGTACCTTCTCCTCCTTATCTCGCACTTCCTGCGGCGGAAGGGACCAGTCCAGGTYGAACTGTCCTGCTCACTCTTGCATGGAAGATGCTGTCTCATCCTGTCAGAACCTGAGGTTCCCTTTAGGTGGGAACCCTTGAGGTGTCACTTWGTTTTAGTGCCAAATCCCTTGAGTGTCAGAGATGGCGCGGGCAGTTACACCAGGGCTGCAGTGCTCTTTGCCACCTYTAAACCCTCCCAAATGCCATCTCCGTGGATAAAATCCTGAGCACTAACACCTTTTAGGTRACCCCAACCCCATTATCCCCCCATTTCCTAAAGGACAAACAGCATCCTGCCCTCCACTTTTGCATGTCCCATGGTGGTTTTGGATTTCCAGGGCAGACACTTGTTCATTAATGTTCTAAACTCTCCCAACGTGTTCTTGGAGCTGGAATTTCCTCCAGACGAGTGTCTTAATGTTCAAAACTATTGAGGCAATGTTTAATTCATGTACATTCATGTTTATTTAATGTGTGTTTGGGCTGAATATTCAGGAGGTTTAGAAAGCAGATTTTCCTCCCAATGATTCCTCGGGTGCCATGTCCTGCAGATTCTTAGGAGAGACATTATCAACATTTAGTAGTGGGAATTCAACACTTCCCAAAGCAARGGAGTACCAGGACAGACTGACAGTGGGATGTCTGGCTAAAGAAACCATTGAGGAATTCTTCACAGGGGAAAGAAAAATATTAACCAAAATTTAAATATTTACTATCTTGACATGGGTAAGGAAAACTTGTGCACGTGAGATCCATATCCATTAGCCATTGTCACTACAGGGCTTTTTTTCTATGTGTAAGACTACCTAGACAAAAGTTGGCAGCAAAAAAGGATTTGTGAACTTCCAAAATTCCTTTCTTAGAAATATTTATGYCCCTTAATCCTTCCTACGGACTCCAGTCCCCCAGGGGTCACAGGAAACTGCGCTGTTTATGTTTTTCCTTCTCCCTTAAGAGGAGATTTGCTGGAGGAATAATAATAATATCAGGCTTTTTTTTTTTTTTTCTGCACAGCTGCTTTTTTTTTTCCTCATAGGCAAAAAAAACCCAACTTCATTTTCTTTTCATCCACAAAATAAAACCGACTCAGGAAGTGGTCAGGCAAAAAGATCCTATCAGCCCTTCAAGCACCTCAGCCCACGGAGCAGGGCTGTGGCAGCTCCAGGCACGGAGCCAGGTTGGATTTATCCTTCCTCCACCTGCCTCTCCTTGAGGAGCCRGAGCTGTGGAAAGGAGACTGCAGCCTCTCTCTCTCCCTGCCTTTCACGCTCAATAAACCCCTGGGCCAGACATTGTCATGCCCTGAGAGACGTGAGGTTCTTACAGTTGAATCCCAATCCTGTTTTCCTAAGAATCACCTTTTTGTTCTGCACTTTCCTTAAAGCAAAATGCCCTTTTTTTTTTTCACCTGAATAGCCTGGGGTTGGGGTGAAATGTTGTTGAGGCCTAGGAAATTCAAGATCTGGGCAGATTCACCCTTTCAGGACTTGTTGGGAATGGCAGGGATGGATTTTTCTTTCCCAGCACTCTTCTTATCCCACCTTGCCCTGCTTCCTGGGACACCTCATTGGAGTGTTAACACCCTCCTTCCTTCCCTGGGGCTGTAGGAAAAGGTGTCTTGGAGCCACCCAGTGGCTTTGTTCTGGTGAAAAAGGACTTGGGAGCAGCTCCCTCAGATTAGGGATCACTGGGCACCCTCGGGCCTGCGGCTTGTTAATCACTGCAGGGAATTAGGAATTAGCAGGAATTAAGGAGTAAATAAAGAGCGTTTCAGTGTCCAGGTGTGGGTCTCTTGGAAGTGAGAATTACTCTCTAAAGCCAGCCAGCCCCTGCTTCCCTTTACCTGGGACATTTGGGGTGTGAATATTGAAATTTCTGAGGGATTTAGAATTAATGAACACAGCCACAGCTGCCATAATAACCTGTTATCCCAAAAGAGACTGGAGAGAGGGTCAGATCTCTTCCAGAGGAAATCTCTCTGGAAAGAAGAAATGTCCCTGAATCCATGCTTTTAAATTGATATTCTCTAAGGATCAAATCCAGCAAACTTACCCTCCACCTGGAGAATTCCTRGGCTTCAGTAAAGGGTTTGTTTGGATCCTGTGAGGGGAATTCAGACACTTTAAGCAGTTGTCAGTTCTTCTGTTACCTTTTCCTTATGGCAGCTGCTCTGCTAAGTCAACTTTTGTCTTCCTARCTGGGAGGGGAGGAGAGAGAAGTGATGTAACAAATACCACCCTCAAAACCACAGCTCTTGAAGCTTCTCAGAGTGTCTCAACTGGGCTTGATTTGAGATTGAGACCAGCGGGATGATAAATCACTGCCTTTCCTTTGGGACAAACCCTTCCTGCTGAGCGCTCTCTTCCACGAGAGAAATGCTCCATCTAGAGCTGAAGCTT